CTGTTTGGGAAAAAAAATTTTTTTACAGAGGAGAAAAAAAAAAAAAAAAAAAAGAATATTTTCTCTGGGTTTGCACTTTCATTTGTACTCGACTGCAACCAAGTATGTATTTGTGAAATGAGTGTGATCAGAACAGTGTCCCGTAAGAGGCAGGAAGGTTATACAAAGTAGAAGGACTGTACTTCAGGTATCTTGAATTGTAGAGTCCTGGTGCCTCAGTTTCAATATTTTCATTAATGCTATGCAGATGATCTCACACGTAGTGGGAGAACATGCCGTGAGACCATGCTTCTTTCTACTGTACACATTCGATCATCAATGGCTTAATGAGCACCCACTTCTATAACCTATTGAGTTTGAACTTCAACTAGAATGTGATAGGAAAGCTTGCTCAAAAAACTTACTTTCATTTTCTTTCAAGAGGCAGTATCTAAGAACATTTATCAACTGACTGGCTTACTTCTAGCAGTAGACCTGTGGTTATGCTATTGTGTCACAGAGCCCTCTAGTGGTAACAACACTCATTTCTTCATAACTGTAAACTAAAATGTCAGTACTTAACTAGTAAAAACAATGCAAGTTTGAATTATTTTTACCTCTGAATGAGCCTTTTCTTCAGCCTGTAAAACAAGAAAAAGAGTTAATTATTAAAATTAGGTCGAACTCATGCCAGATGTATAAATGAATAAAATAAATATAATGTATATTTAAAATGATTTTATGATCTAACATGATAATAATATATATGAAATTATTCAATTAAGATAATGAAAATAAAACATATTATGATTTCAAATGCATATTCATATATATATATACACATATATATGTATGTATGTATGTATGTATGTATATTATAGGGATTTAAAAGTATACATAGTTCAGTGTATGTATACATAATATGCCTTGAAAGCAAAGAATAGAATTAGAAAAATCTAAGATCCAGACTAAGCAACAAAACCAAAATAGATATAAAAGTAGACTCAACAAATATAGGTGCATGAGAAAATGAAATATTAGATTTTTCCCCATAGATTATAAAAATGGACTCCATGAAATTATAGAGATCTTTACTCAAGATTTAGGAGTTAGAATTTTATTCTGTGATTAACAGATCATAAAGAATGCCAAATAAGGAAACAGCAAGTGGCATTGTGGCGAAGGTGCAGGACTCCGACATGGCCAGCCATGGTTGGAGTCCCAGACCTAACAGCTTATTTTCTTACTTTTCCTTTCTCTCTCTGTCTCTTTCTGGTCAGTTAAAAAAATAATAACAAATAAAATTAAATCAATAAAATAATTCTTACCCCCAAAAAAGGAAAAACAAGAATGCCAAGTAAGTCTGGGAAAAGGTTCAGCTGTAGTGACATATGCACCTAAAACGCTGTGTTCCCCAGTCTGGGACCACATGGGAGTCCTGAGTTTGGTTCCTTGTCTGAGCTAAAGGCTAGATATGGTGGTATGCACCTGTAGTCACAGTGACTTGAGAGGCTGAAGCAGGACAATTGTGAGCTCAAGGCTGGCCTAGAAAATACAGTGAAACCCTATTTAAACTTGAGCAAGGTATGGTATTGTAGGCCTATGGTCCCAGCTACTTAGGAAGCTGAGGCAGAATTATGACAGAGCAAGACTATGTCTTAAAAAAGAAAAACAACTGGCCCCTACTGATAAACACAAAAGAACAAAGGTAATAGTTTCTATTTTCCTTTATTTTCCACAATGATTATTAATGAGGTTTATGTGGCTGCAATCCAGCAAAACACAGAACTTCCCAGTGCTTAGATGATGGTAAAAGTGACTGGCAGACATCTTTGGCTAGGCAGCTTATGGAAATGAAGGCTGCTGTAGAAACTTGTAGGGTGTTTTTGATCTCTGTTGCAGAAAATTCCTAGCTCTATTTTTCTTCTTCAAGCTGGGCTGCAAAATGCCAAAAAATGTGTTATGTGTACCATTACATTTGGGAAGCTTTCTTGTTCTGGAAAAAGCTGGAGAATGAATAATATCTCTGAATAGCACGAGTACATTGTATAAGCAGATTCAAAGCTAAAACACAATCTTATCTTCTATCCAACTTTTGGACTATTTTCTGATTAATCAATGCAAGTATGCTTGAACTGCTTTATATCTCTTTTCCTCCCGAAAATATGAAAAAAACGGTAAAATAACTATCAGGATATATTTTAGCATCTTTATCGACCTGAGTTTTGTCTTTCCTATGTCTTTCTCTACTGTAAAAAAATGTCAAATTCTTGGGACCAGCAGTTAGTGTAATGGCTATGTCGTTGGACTCCCATATAGTCGACTGTGGTTCTGTCCCAGACCCGGTGGCTTAAAACTCACGCCGGGCGTGTGTGCGTGCGTGCCCAAGATCCTGAGAGGAGGATGGAGGAGAAGGGACTGTGGCATTGCCATCCCCCGTGGGGGGTGATTTCTCGCTTTCTGTCTCTCTGTCTCTGTCTGTCCGTCTGGTGAGCGCATGCACCCTATAGCAAAAACCTCTCCAAAAAGAAAAAAAAAGTCAAATTATTTAGCTAATAAAGTGGTGAATTGATAGAATCCTATTAGCCTTTATAAGAAAACTAGGTTTTAAAAACAATGCTGACATAAATCTTGAATATTTAATACCCTCAATTTCAGCATTTTAAGTGATGTTATTATTTGAATTCCAATAATTTCCAGATGTTACATGTAGTTTAGTTTTTTGAATCAGAAGTATGGTAGGACTCTTAGGATAAAATTTTATTTCCTTAAAATATATAGTATAATTAATTACATAATAACTAGCTGATTCTGGGGGAAGATCAGGTTTTCAAGAACCTATCAGAAGTGCTGCATCTATCTCAGCAAGGAGAATTTTTAATTTACAAAAAATGTGACAATACAATGACAACTAGCAACCCAAACTTAGTGGCCATGTCAGGAAAAGGAAAGGTATGGAGGATGTGCTTGGCAGCATCTAAAGGTGTTGATGTCTTGTGACTAGAAACCTGAAGAAATGTCATCACAGTATTGCTAGATATTTCCATTGTTTTAGAAAGGAATTTGGGGGCCCAGCAGGTGGCGTGAAGGTTAAGGCACTGAATCCCACATGGCCGGCTGCACTGGTCCAGTCTTGGACATAGTGGCTTGAGAACTACACCAGGTATGTGTGCCCCAAATCCGAAGAAATTAGAGGAGAAGGGACTGCAATGTGGCCATCCCACCTAGGGGGTGATTTCTCTCTCCTTCTCCCTGGTGAGTGCACATACCCCATGGCAAAATCTAAAAGAGAGAAAGAGAGAGAGAGAGTTTGAATTTTTAGGTAGAAGTTTCCAATTTCTCAGTAATGGATTTTGGATTTACAAGCAAACACATAAAACACCAAATTTGCTAAAGATACAACACCTTGACAGATCATCCTGAGCCTGTGATTTCTAACTAGCTTACAGAAATACTATAGAATAGATCAAATAGATTTGGTTGATATTTTCAAATTTTATTTTATAGGTATAGTCCAAAGTATTTTGGCAACTTGCTTGATGTCACACAAAATTGCTGATGGAACCAGGCAAGAATGCAAATCAGCTGAATCTTTCTCCAAAGCCTTTAAGAAGGCATGACAAATAATGAAAAATTGCCTTTTCACTTCATAGTTTGAAAGGTACTTTTTACATATATTTTCTTATTGCCAATTAAATCTCAGTGCATGATTATGAGAGACTGAGGAGAGAACAACTTTCATTCCTCTATGATTTTTCTCATTTTAGCCCTCCAAATATACACGTGTTAGAGTTAATTTATCATGGTCTACCTGTTACTTAAAAGATCTAGTTGCCATAATTTCAAATACATTTATTTTAACTTCCTAATACTATCACCTTCTCATGTACCTTAATCACCTAATCCATTCTGTTCACACTTAACATGAGAGACTAATTCACCCATAAATGTTGGACTATAAATATTGTACATATTCCATTTATTTTAATGTCTGTCTCTGTGTTATATTACTCTAATATAATACTTATAGTTAGGATTTCTAATTGTCTTCATTGTTTTGACATCTCACTTCTATCTACATTTTCCTTTAATTTGCCAGGGGGCACATGTGTTCACTGAAGAGAGACAGAGAGAGGGAAAAAGAGAGAGAGTGTAACGTACGGGGTATGGCCATGCTGCAGTATGTTTTCCTCCCCTTCTTTCAGAATTTTGGGCATGCACATGCACCTGGGGTGTTGTTTAAGCCACTGGGCCTGAGACTTGAACTGCACTGTTGGCCATGTCTCAAATACCAGGCCACCAGCCGGCCCCTACCTACATCTTTAAATGCACTCCCTTTGTTCCTGTTAAACCCATACTGTCTAACCTAGCAGTCATCACCTTTAATGATTTGTCATGTGCATATATCTATTTAAATAAAAATGAATTGAAATTGAAAAATTCAGTTTCTCTCAATACATTTAATAGACACAAAAGTGAAAAGTTATCTGTTGATGATAATGTATACGGTAATACCTTTGACTTGACTAATACGCAATGTACTCATGCTGGAAAAATCCGTGTTGTACACTGCAAAGATGTACAGTGATTAAATGTAAATGAAAAAGTAATTTTTTAAAAAATTCAGTTTCTCTGTAACATCAGACACATTTCAAATAATCAAGAGCAATATGTGGCTAGTAGCTACTGCATTGGGCAGTGTGGATAGAGAATTTTTTATTATCACAGAAATTTGTTTTGGACACTGGTATGAATTAAGTAGTTATATATATATATATTTCAAATTCATGCTCCTTTTCTTTTGGCATCTTTCTTAGGCTTCCTAAACATAGTTTTCCCTAAATATTGTTATTGTATATATTTAAAATAAGCTTATCATGATGCTGCACCTTTAAATATTACATAGATACTTAAATTGCAATGGCTCAAGTCAGAATCTAACTCTGTAACAAGTGGTAATATTTGTCCAATAGGAGGGATGCTTGGTCTTAACATGTTTTTTAATGTATCTTTTCCAAAACATTTTCAAATTCCTCACTTCTTTATCCATTCACCTAAAACAGTAGATGTATCTAAACACTAATAGTAATTTTCCACTTATAGATCCTATTGCCAATTTTAATCACTAAAAGCAGAAATATGAAAAATATTGCTACTGCCAATGATAATCTATAGTGACTATTGAGAGCAGTACATATGTAATATTAACTTGTCAGCAGCAGTCTGTAACAGTTGAACATAATAAAATATTATTGAAAAATGAAAAATATTATTGTCCTCATATTTAATTGTTCAGTGACAGACAAGTTTGTAAACTTTTCATGACTCTTTTAATATGCAATTAAAGGTTATTCATAGTATTAAAATCTCATTGAGACTCAATAAACTAATTTTAAATAGATCTCACTGTAACCTAAGCATGAAGAAACCTTCTTATAAAATATAACTTTCTGCATACATTTTTTAACATAAAATTATATTGAGTATACAGAAAATCCCATATTGGCAATAATAAACTATAATTTCACATGATGTAAAAAAAACTGAAAACACTGATGCTCTTAAGAAATGAAGTTTTTAGACCAGTCTGTGATGTGGTGGTTAATGCAGCTAGATCCCACATAGTCAACTGTGAAGTTCAAGTCCCAGATCCTATGGCTTCAGACACACACTGGATGCATGTGCATGTGTGTTCAAAAATCCGAAAAGGAGAAGAAAATAAAGGAAAAGGGACTGTTTATTATGATCGTTTATTCTATTATTTCTTTCTTTCTTTCCTCTTTTTTTTTTTTTTTTTTTTTCTTTTTTTTTTTTTTTTTTTTTCTTTTTTTTTTTTTTTTTTTTTAGAGAGATTTTTGCTATAGGGCACCTGCCCTTGCTGGAAAGACAGAGACAGAGAGTGAGAAATTGCTCCCCGCCTCCGGGGGGGATGGCCACACCACAATCCTTTTTCCTCTTTTGGATCTTGGGTACACACAACAGGTACCTGGTGTGAGCTTTAAGTCATTGCGTCTGGGACTCAAAACATGGTTGGCTATGTGTGAGTCCAGTGACATAACCATTACACCATCTGCTGGTCCCATGTAGTGTGACCATTTTCCATAATGAAGTGTTTTCTCCTCTCCCTTCTCTGTCTCTCTGTGGTGAACACACATACCCTCTAGCAAAAAAAAAAAAACTTAAATTATAAAATAAAATTTTAAAAATAACACTTAATTCCAAAAGAAATGTTTTTAAAAATTTCTAACCCATTCAGGCTAGTCTGGGATAGTCTTCTGGAAAATTGAATTTAAAACATAAAATATAGGCCCAGCTGCAGCAGTGAATTCTAGTAGATATTGCTACTTAGCTAATGGAAGCAACATGAGAGACCTGGATTCAATTCAAGAAGCACCATAGAAGCTGGGCATGGTAGTCCAGCTACTCAGGTTGAGTGAGGAGGATGGCAACAGAGCAAGTCACTGTCTAATAAAGATATAAATACATAAATAAAATAAGCTTTCTTAAATTAAAAATGAAGTAGAAAAATATCATAATGCAATTAAGAGCCATAGCTCAGTGAACCAAATGAGGAAAACTAGTCAATATTATGAAATTATGGTACAGCTACCACAGAGGTATGGTTTCAGAGACTCTAGGTGCCAGCTACAGGGAAAATTCAGTTTTGCAACTACTCACCAATTATAATGAAGGCACAAAAGTCACAAGAAAGCACAAATAAGCAGGCCACAGAAGGGTGGAGAGAGCTCTTGCCAGCTTATTTGGTATGCAGTAGCTTAGAATTATAGCCTCATTTCACCACACAACTTCTGTGTAAATGTCAATGTATTTAATAATCTGAGTGCGTCTCAAAGATAGAATCTTTCTCTTGACAGCTAATACTTACTGTGGAGTAAAGAGAAGATGTACTGGAGACCAATGATAATGAAGAGCCATGAACTGGAGGAAACAAAAACAATAGAGTTAAAATAATGATATCTACTCATAAATCCCTGGCCTTTACTGAAAAAGTAACGTACAGATGGTTAGGGAAATAAAATGATAACAGCTAACGATAAGATTCTGAGAACAAGTCTGTTATAATTTTTTGAAGATTAAGATGCTGAAGCATGAAAAGGTCCCAGTCACAGTCCCTAAGTGACTCATTTACCAAGTTGTGGAGAAAAGTTGATAAGAATGAACCATATAAGTGTGTTATATGAAACTTAAAAATTCCCATTTAATAAACAGAAAATCATGGAAACCCAAACTAAAGTTGCCATAAACCTATTAAAAATTTTTTTTGAGAGATTTTTGCTATAGGGTGCATGTGCTCACCAGGAAGATAGAGAGAGACAAAGAGAGAGAAAATGAGAAATCACTTCTGGGGGGTGTGTGGCCACTCTACAATCCCTTCTCCATTCTCCTCTCGGGATTTTGGGCATATAGGCACATGCCCCCAGTGTGAGTTTCAAGCTCCTGGATCAGGACTAGAACCATGGTCAGCTATGTGGGAGTCCAGTGCTTTCATCACTATGCTGTTTGCTGGCCTCACCATAAACTTAATTTATATATTTCATTTCATTTTTATACAATAAAGATCCATTTTCAGTATTTTCTCCAAATATTTGCAGGGGAATAAGCATTTTTATCCAACTTGCTGTTTCAATATTATCTGTAATGAGTTGCCCATGTTCCTTTTAATTGTAGAATCATTGCTTTGTTAGTAAAAGTTTGTTAAGTTTATTTACTTATTTCTTCCATGCAAGAGAGAGAATCCCAATCAAGGAGGTCCCAGTCACAGTCCCTAAGTGACTCATTTACCAAGTTGTGGAGAAAAGTTGATAAGAATGAACCATATAAGTGTGTTATATGAAACTTAAAAATTCCCATTTAATAAACAGAAAATCATGGAAACCCAAACTAAAGTTGCCATAAACCTATTAAAAATTTTTTTTGAGAGATTTTTGCTATAGGGTGCATGTGCTCACCAGGAAGATAGAGAGAGACAAAGAGAGAGAAAATGAGAAATCACTTCTGGGGGGTGTGTGGCCACTCTACAATCCCTTCTCCATTCTCCTCTCGGGATTTTGGGCATATAGGCACATGCCCCCAGTGTGAGTTTCAAGCTCCTGGATCAGGACTAGAACCATGGTCAGCTATGTGGGAGTCCAGTGCTTTCATCACTATGCTGTTTGCTGGCCTCACCATAAACTTAATTTATATATTTCATTTCATTTTTATACAATAAAGATCCATTTTCAGTATTTTCTCCAAATATTTGCAGGGGAATAAGCATTTTTATCCAACTTGCTGTTTCAATATTATCTGTAATGAGTTGCCCATGTTCCTTTTAATTGTAGAATCATTGCTTTGTTAGTAAAAGTTTGTTAAGTTTATTTACTTATTTCTTCCATGCAAGAGAGAGAATCCCAATCAAGGTCCTGATGATGTGCAGCACCAGTCTTGCCCAGCTCAGGGGCAACTGTGTACCTAGCACACTCAGGGAAGTCTTCAGACACGAACCTGAAACCTTCTTGTGTGGGTCAGCCTCAGACAACATTACATTTTATCACTGTGCCACCATCTGGTCCTCGCTTTATTAGTACATTTAGTAATAGAAGAATACTTATTTCAAGGTGATTTCTCACAGTAATTAATAATGAAATAGTCAAAGGAATTGAATATTGTCTTTTCTCTAGGAATATCAAAATATCATCTTGAGTGATTAACAACCTACTTTATACTGCCACACTGCCAATGCATTAAACTCAAAAGGTAAATAAAATAGTGTTTAATTATTTTTGCAGAAAAGTTCCTCCTCTTTCATCATGTGACAATGCAGTTATTTCTCCTTACTCATTCACTCATCCACTAAATAAATATTACTCAAATATACACAATGTGACAGCCCCTTGTTGGATGTGGGGACTACAAAAATGAAAAAAATACAATCTTGGAGCTCAAAAAGAAGTAAAAAATATAATTAAGAAGATAACTGCAGGGCCGGCAGGTGGTGTGTTGATTGAGGTGCTGGACTCCCATATGACCAACTGCAGTTCAAGTCCTGGACATGGTGGCTTATTTTCTCACTTTCCCTTTCTCTTTCTCTCTCTGGTCAAATTTAAAAGAAATAAAAATAAATAGAATGAAATAATTCTTTTCTAACAAAAGGTAATTATAACCACCTAATATAAATGCTATTGAGATCAATGAGCTCAGGACTACAAGAACATAAGGAAGTGCTCATGACCTGGTCTGAAAAAGGCTAAAAAGCTGTAGTAGGATCATGGTGCATGGATGAAAATAAGGAAATGAATATGAGAGATACTAGGAAAAATATTTATAGCTGATGGGGGATGTAGATGTGTATCAAAAAGAAAATGAAGGATGTTCAACACACTCATATCAAAACATAACTTGGGGCCAGACAGTGCTCACTTTCCCTTTCTCTTTCTCTCTCTGGTCAAATTTAAAAGAAATAAAAATAAATAGAATGAAATAATTCTTTTCTAACAAAAGGTAATTATAACCACCTAATATAAATGCTATTGAGATCAATGAGCTCAGGACTACAAGAACATAAGGAAGTGCTCATGACCTGGTCTGAAAAAGGCTAAAAAGCTGTAGTAGGATCATGGTGCATGGATGAAAATAAGGAAATGAATATGAGAGATACTAGGAAAAATATTTATAGCTGATGGGGGATGTAGATGTGTATCAAAAAGAAAATGAAGGATGTTCAACACACTCATATCAAAACATAACTTGGGGCCAGACAGTGACACAGTGGTAAAAGATGAGGTTCTACGAGAGGTTGACCTACATGGGGAGGTTCCAGGTTCCCCTCCCTGAAACCTCCTTAAGTATACAGGGTACCTATGTACCCAGGAACCCAGGGATGGCTGAGGCTGGGGTTGGATTGTGGTGTCAGGATCTACTGGCGGTGTTGTCCCTGTCTTTCTTGCTCATGGAAGAAATTAATGAAAGAACTTTCAAAAGATCATTGCACTCAGGCTGCCTTTCAGCTCTTGAGATTATTAAATCTTCATACACAGGTGTCTAGAATTCTCTAGCATATAAATAGTATTCTATTTGTAAATGAGGCGCTTTAGAAGCCAACCATATGCTTAGCAAATTATATTTTTAAAGTATCGTAAGATGCCTATGAAGAAAGTAACTAAACCATTTCAGAGAAGCAACTGTGTTATATTTCAGTTGAATTCCATTTTGTCTGTCTACACTATAGCAATAAGTAGACTCACAACTCTAAGTCATGACCTGTCATGGTAAAGTCAGTGGTTTAGGTAATATTCTAAAAGGAAGTAACAACGGTGGTCATCTGATTTAGTGTCAGCATATTAAATGTACAGCAATGGCTTAAAATACATGAGTGAGTTTTTATAGCTGTCTAAACTTTGAGTCAGAAAATACCATACGGAAGGTAGGGCTAGTCAGTGGTGTGGTAGTTAAGGGCTGGATCCCACATGGCCACTTGTGGTTTGAGTGCTGACCCTGGAAGCTTGAAAAACACACTGTACCCATGCCCCAAACACAATGAGATGGAGAAATGTATGAGAAGGTATTGCCACACGACCATGCTTGGTTAACTAAATGTGACATTTGAGATGATATACTTCAGAAAAATGTGTACATTTGAATATTAAGCTTCCAGATTTTTCAAAGAGATTTATTTCAAGTATTCATGTAAAATTATAAAACTATCAAGATATTTGTTGGGTCAGGTAACAAAGTTATTGCCATTGGATAGAGATATGTAACTTGCGAGACCAGCAGTTAGTGTAATGGCTATGTCGCTGGACTCCCATGTAGTTGCCCGAGGTTCGTGTCCCAGACCCGGTGGCTTAAAACTCACGTCGGGTGCATGTGCGTGCGTGCCCAAGATCCCGAGAGGAGAATGGAGAAGAAGGGATTGCAGCGTGGCCATCCCACCTGTGGGGTGATTTCTCACTTTCTGTCTCTCTGTCTGTCTGGTGGG